ATTCGCCCCCTTCCCTCTTTCCCAGTTGCTGTCATGGTTTTTAAAACACGATGGGGGGGGGAAACCCCCAAAGGGGGGGGGGGGGGGGGAGAAAAGGCTTTTGGAGAACATGTTTTTCAAAACCATTTTTTTTTTTTTTGGTGTTTCTATTCCCCCCCGAGAACGGAAGCCACAGGGCGTTGGGGGAGGGCGGGGGGGGGGGGGGGGGGCGCTACCCCGCTCCTCACGGCTTTTCCAACGTCAATATTCGGTACGGGGGGTCAACGCCAATCCAACGCTTGCTCCCGCCGGTTGGGCACCTCGTTGGGCGGTAAAGCATAGCACAGGGGCTGTTCGCGTAGATACAAGTTCGGAATTCTGAAGTACTGAGCATGCAGAATCGCGCGCTACAGCATTAGCGTCGTAACGTTTGCACCTTCTCCATTTTCAATTTTTTTTTCTTTTCCTTCCTTTTTTTTGTTGTGGTGCCGTACGCTTGACATTTGTTTGTCACCCCCTCCCTCTCTGACTGCCCGCCTCTTCCCTGTCCTTTCACCCCTATTCTCGTGGAACTTCTACGCCTCTTGTAAGGTGGTGCACCGGTTCTGTCACTGAGAAGATCTTCGCCCCAATGGTGGACAAGATAAAGGCACGTAATCCCACAAATAATTCTAGCTCTTGCGCTCCCTGCCTCTCCTATTTTTAGTGGACTGGACAATAACGTATCTTCGCGCACCAAACCCCTCCAACGACGCTACTAGTTCATGGGCGGTGTGCAAGAGCACATCTCGCCTCTGTGCTCTACTGCTGCCGGACGCACCAAAAACAATCTTGCTCCCCGACCATGGCGGCTTGTGGTTTTGTTTTACGTTGACCAATCCCAGTGCACGGGTGCTTTGCGTGCAGGGAAACGGCGGCGAAATCCGCGGAGGCATGTTCGTAACCGACGTGGAGGTGGGCGACGACAAGAAGGTGGGTTTTGGCGTGCAAGGTGGGAGTAGGGTTTTTTGTTTTACTACATTGCTCGGAGGCCCTTGGCTTATTCAAAGCAAGTGGTTTCGGGGTGTGGGATTTGCGAAATTCCCTTCGTCCAGTCCGCCGGAGGAAGTAAAAGGCAAGAAGAGGAAGATTAATTTTGGAGAGGCGAAATCACGCTCGCCCTAAGTTCGTTAGTTTTCCGCCGCCGGCTCCGTGGTTGAATCCTCAACAAAAATAGCGGGGGGGATTTCCGTGCAAGATACTTTTCGGTACATTGTGAACCAACACGAAACCGAGCTGCGCCGAGAAGCACGGCATCCCGCACGAGCAGAACTATCGGCACGTCTCGAGCATCAGCAGGTGACGCAAGCGCCATTTGAAACCAGATCTCGTGCTGAAAGGAAGAAAATAACACACAACCTCCTCCTCCTCCCCCCCCCCAAAAAAAAAAAAAAATGGAAACAGCTTGGACGCTGCTCCGTGGGGGACTGGATACTACCTCATCGCACGTAACCGTAAAAAAATGAGAAAAAAACGAACGCACCCCATCCACCCCCCGCCGCCATCAGGTGACATCGGTGCTGGCGAAGAACGCCGAAGGAGAGACGGTGTCTTTCGAGGCGGATGCCGTGGTCATGTGCGTCAGCGTACAGGTGAAGGAAGGGAGGCAAGGGCTGCGAGGGAGTCGGGAGGGGAGGGGAACTCAGAAAGGAATGGTGCTGTGTGTCGCAGGCGCGTGTTTCTTTTTGTTGGTGTCCGCCTCCCGTGTGGAAGTATTTGTCGGAGATAGGGGAACGCGCCTATTTTTCCGCGACTGTACAGAAGCTGCGCTTTGGGAATGCGTTGCTGGGTGTAGGGGACACGTGTACCTGCGCTGGACTAAAGCTGAGCTCAGGAACACATGGCCGGAAAAATGTGTGAGAATGACTAGTCAATTAGACCACTCAGTCAGCTGACTGAGCCACATTAAATGAGAGATACGTATGTCGGCAGGCTCTTGGCCTCCCAGCTAGGACAGTGATCTCCGGGGACGGACTCCTCGCCGTGCTGCTGATATGTATGCGTGCCTGTGTAAATGTGCCTTGTGTATATGGTGAATGCTTGTCACGTGCTGGGATTCGAAATAGGGTACACCGGTGCTTGACCACAAGAAAGTGACGCGTGGGATGCGTGTCCCAACCAAGTTCCAGTTGAACCTCTCCTCTCTCGATAATTTATCACCCGATTGCACACTTTCAATGAACCCTGGCAGTCGGTGCTAGCTAACAATTCATGTGTTACATACCCAAAACATTATATTTGTCGAAAAACTCTTTCTTCTGTCGCCCCCTCTCGGCATCCCGTCCGTCTTCGCAGGGCGTGAAGAAGCTGCTCTCGTCGTGCACGGGGCTGTCAGCGGCGAGACCCGATCTCCGGCGAGCGATGTCGCTCAGGAGCGTCGACGTCATGGCGACGCGCCTCTGGTTCGACCGAAAGGTACCACGGTATGGTCGGGGTTGCCGAAATAAGGCGGTCTGAATGAGGCGGTCGCCCTGTGCAAGCGGGTGAAATCGGCTGCCATACATTGACGGAACAGTCAACTGCTCTTACACGTCTGAATAACACGGCTGCTGCAACTAAGGCGACCATTGGTAGCTGCCCCACCGCCATCTTGTTCGGGGACCCCGAGTGTAGATACAAGTTGGTGCTCGCTGGCAAGCAAGAGAAGAGGGTGAATGGTCGTGGCACTGGCGCACACGCTTCGCTGTTGGTTTACGCCCCCTCCGTACGACGCGGTACGTCCGTGGCGTGCTTTTTCGGGCGAATACTGTTGTTGAACCTGCTTCCTCCCTGATCAGACGATTCGTTCTGCCTGTTTTGAGCTGGTGTTCATTCTCCACGTGCTGTGTCGAACCTGACCGGACGAAACCACACGCTTAGGCAAGCAATACTCTATGCCATCTCCAACAAAAAAGCTATTCCTGGCACACCCGTGCAGCGAATGAAGGAAGACCTTCCCTCACGCCCATTCCCGCCCCGCCCTACTTTCCCCCTCTAAACAAATCCAAACCCTGCCTTCGAACGCGTTGGCTGCGTAGAATATGGAAGGTTTTCGAGAGGAGGTCGTCACACTGTTTTCCGGTGCCCCACTCTCTTGTCTTCCGTTTTTTTTTTTTTTTTCAGGTGACCGTGAAGAACCCGTCTAACGTGATCGCCGGCTTCGAGGACTCGGTAGGCGGGACGTTCTTCCACCTCAACGACATGCAGGTCAGGGGCCAGGGGGGGGCAGGTCAACACGAAGGTGTTGTTCCTCTGCTTCGAAAGCATGCGATTTTGATCTCTGCCTCCGCCACGACAAGTGAAGTCTCTGCTCACCGCGGTGTCCTGGCTGCCACGCGCATGTTTCTACAGCACAATGTCGGGTGTGTTCCAGCCGCGGCGGCGATAGCCGCCCCAGCGGGCGCAGGGTTAGCGAGAGAATGTCGAGGTCGTCCTAGTTGTTGTTGCCTAGGACAGCCAGTGGCAGTAGGCCTACGCAGGGTTTTTCGCAATATGTGAACATGTTGGATAAAGCATTGTATCCGGAAGTTGGGCTAGGATTGGGGAATAGGGTCTGCGTCTCCCCTCCCTGTTCTATTTCCTCACAGACTTGTTAATCGCGCGAAGGCGGTCCGCCAGTGGGGGTAAGGGGCCACGCATCGCGACGTCCGGCGCCTCTATCGACCGTGGAACCATTGCCCGAATGCGCGGCTGTTCCTATCCCGCCTTCCCTCCAAAACTATCGCCCTCGCCCATTGTTCCTTCGCAAAAAAATGTCGAGTAATATCTATCGGGGGGGAGGCAGTCTCCTGCAATGCGGTTGTCCCCGTCATGCCATTGACGAGGTTCCCCTCCTTGCGTCGATTCGTCGGGTCACGTTCCCACCACTCCCTTTTTTTCCAAGGCTGCCTTATCTAGCGTTGCAGAGCTTGAAAAAAATATTAGCTCCGCGGGAAACCCAGGCAAGGATTTTCGTGTCGTCTTCGACCAATCACCGCCACATTTCGAACTATAGTGTCGTTTTTATTTTTTCTTTGTTAAAATTTCGTTGACGCTGGCTGGGCCTGTGGATTTTGATATCGTTATTTTTATTTTTATTATTTCGAACGTTGTTCACACTGGGCCGATCGATGCTGATATTGATGTTGGTATTGACTTTGATTGTCGAGAATTACTGTACTGTCGGTTTTATTTTTGATTGTTCAAATCCCGTTCCCAACTGGCTGGGCCTGTCGATATTGATACCTGATACTGATATCGGTATTGATCTTGATTGCACTGCGAACCTCGGTGAAACCGGACCTGAGCAGGACGAGTACTGTCGGTTTTTTAATTTTTAATTTTTTTATGTTTTATATATTTTTTTATTGTTCAAATCCCGTTCCCAACTGGCTGGGCCTGTCGATATTGATACCTGATACTGATACCGGTATTGATCTTGATTGTACTGCGAACCTCGGTGACACCGGACCTGGGCAGGACGAGTACTGTCGGTTTTTTTATTTAGTTGTTTTTATTGTTCGAATCCCGTTCCCAACTGGCTGGGCCTGTCGATACTGATACCTGGTACTGATATCGGTATTGATCTTGATTGTACTGCGAACCTCGGTGACACCGGGCCTGTGCAGGACGAGTACCGGGAGAGCGAGGGCAGCGTCGTGGCGTCGGACTTCTACCACGCCTCGGAGCTGCTGCCCCTGTCGGACGAGCAGATCGTCGAGCGGGTCCACAAGACCTACCTCTCCACCTGTGTGCCAGAGTTCAGGCAAGAGCCGTCTTCCTTCAGGAAAAGAAACAGATACAGCAGTTGTGGTCCCGGTGTAGCGGTTCCAAAACCTTGTGGCGTCGCTGCACCTCGGTATCAATTTGTGGCACTGTGTGGACCGCTAATCCGAGACCGCGACCTATAATTCTGAGTTCTGTAGTGCCCGCGTCTGTCTTGTGCTTGGGATGAACAGCAACACAAGGTACTTTGTTACCTCCTGTTCAGACATCCCTCTTCTGCGAAACCAAGAAGCTTCAGACGCCGGGCTGTTGACATCCGTAGTGGACAGCTTGTTGTGGGGAGCACTAATTTAACCCGCAATCAGTATCCACGATTTTTGGCAGAAGGAAGTGTTCGAGTTGAACCCGAGCAACTGGCGATCAGCGACCACCACGACTTGGGTTGCAAATTCAGGTTGTCGAAGGAATCAATGGTTGCGCTTTTCGACCGTCGTTCTCGTTTTCATCTTTGGTGTCCATGGAGATATCGCGAAGCGGGGCTCACAAGGCCTAAGCTTAAGCTTGACACTGGACACGAAGCCTTGGTTGCGTCGTCGTGCTTCTTTAGGTCATGGGAAATGGTGCGTTGGAGCACTGACTCCCCCCGGGGGTTGTAGTCCGCCTCTCCACAGCTCGAAACACTCTCGTGACGTTTTTCGAGTCATGCCTCCGCAACTTCCCCCATCGCGCACTTATTTACATCCCGCCTTCATCTCGACTGGGACGCACGCCCAATGAACACCAGGAGGCAAAGACGGAGAGGCGAACATTGTTTTGGGTATACCCCCCACTCCTCCGTGTCGCGGGTCCCCTTTCGCTGAGTGAAGCGACGAAGGGGAGGCAAGGACACCTGTTTTGAGTACCCCACCCTTGAAACGTAGCCTGGGCCGGCGACAACCCGGCTATGACCCCGTCCGGGCATCGTAGGGATGCGAGGTCAATAGTCTAACGACTACGACATGCGTTTACATGAGAGTACCCCCCTCCCCCCCTCCCTCCGTCCCCCTCTCTGGTTCGCAGGGACTGCAAGGTGATTGACAGCTGGGTCGGGCGGTTTCCTCAGGCGGTGACGTGTTTCAGCCCGGGGTCGTACGTCAATCGTCCCCTCCAAGCGGTGCGGGGCTCGAATGTATTCGTCGCCGGAGACTGGGTCAAGGGGGTCGATCACGGAGCCAACGGACTCAGTCAGGTAAGGCTCTCCCTCTCCCTCTCCCTCCATCTCTCCCTCTCTCTCTCTCTCTCTCTCTCTCTCTCTCTCTCTCTCTCTCTCTCTCTCAGACGATTTTCGGCGTTTGCATTACGCATAGGTATGTGATGTCAGGGGAACCCGATGACCAGACATGCAGCCTGCTGCAAAGTGAAAGTCACCAGGCATGATCTGCTGCAACGATTGCGCGTGCCGCGCAGTTTCCTCGTTCTGTTGCCAGAATCCTACTTGCCCCGTCCGCGTCCTTAAGGCGATCGATCACATGACAAGCACGCGAAGCACGACGTTTTCCAAGCTTTTTCCTCCCGCTGGGGCACACGCTCCGCTTTGCTCCCGCAGGAGAGGGCGTACGTGACGGGCCTGACGGCCGCCAACTACGTCATGGATTCTTTCCCCGGAGTGGAGGCTCGAAGATCCCCTGTCCTCCAAACGGAGCCGGACGAGCCGCAGGTTCGTGATGATGGTCGCAGCTCGATGTGTGCCGTATGGGTGTTCGTTCTGTGTGTTGTTTGTGGTTCGCAGGTTCCGTCATGGCCGCTGTTCGATGTGTGCTGTTATGGATGTTCGTTTTGTTGCGGTTGGTTGTGCTTGCTGTGGTTTGCAGGCTGGTGATATTGGAAGCGTTCTGTGTTGCTGGGATGTTCGTCGTTGTGGTGGTTGGTTCCATCGCGCCAGCTCCACGCCGTAGGCGGTTTATTGGTTGTGGTTGGTGTGATGTCCGCGTCGTACGAGATCAAACGCTCAGAATTTTCCAGCAGGTGGTAGAAGTGATCGAGAGTACAGAAGCCTTATATGAGCAGGAGTGTGTGGCAGGTGGGTGTGAAAAGTAGTACTTGCTGTGCATCTCAACGCCCTGTGTTTCGCGAAGCCTGGTCGGTTGAGTTAAGCCGTCCTGCACCACCGAACCAGCGTGTTGGTGTGTTTGGGGTATTCCTTGCGCCGACCGTCGAAAATGCATCCGTCCCCTTCCGAAGAGCAGAATCGTCCACTCCACTGGAGAGTGAAACCGCCAACATTTTAGCACTCACCACGTCATTGTACGACGAAATTTGTTTGCCCACCTCATGATGAATGGCTGGCCGTTCGGGGCAACAGTGAACGGGAGAATCGATCATACAGGAAAGAAAACACTCACAAAATTCTGGGTTTTTCACTCACACATGGGGCACAATACCAGAGCAATTCCCGCTGAATCCTACAGCAGCGGCAACAACACGAGGAATCTATGTACCAACCTCTGTCCATACCCTCAGATCTGCCTTTACAGCACGTGCTGCGTTTTTCATAGCTCTTGCTCAATAATCCCCGCTCCACCTTGCTGCTCCTTCTTTCCACGTCCCGACGTCAGGTTGCGGCGGGGAAGCGCTCGAACAAGAGCGTGAGGGGGGCCTTGAGGAGACTCGGGTTGCCCGACCCCATCCTTGATTTCACGGTGTTCCCCAAGTTCTTCCCGTGACCTGTGCTTTCTTTTTTTTTGTCTAGATTTCCGCCCTCCCCGAAAGCGTCGCCGCGCGTGTTGTAGTCGGTACAATCTACTGTAGTTTCATTTTTATCACATTTTTTCTGATCTTTTTTAGCTTGTTGTCGATAGACGGTTGGTGTTGGTCACGACAGGGGGACCTCGATTGGCAATCATCGCCCACGTTGCGACCGCGGGGAGGTTGACCTTTGCCTTCTGAGGATGAAGGGAAAGACTGGATAGAAATCAGGTCCGTTTTTCCATGTGAAGTGTAGAGCAGCGCACCCAGCTCTACCATCGAAGACGCTCATCCTGCCTTGGCAGGCAAGGCAGTGTCACATGCGCAGACGCGAGGTACAATTGCGAGCATACACGTAGAGCAGCGCACCTGCCTCTACCATCAAAGACGCTCATCCTGCGTTTGGCAGGCAAGGGAGTGTCAACTGCACAGGCGCGAGGTAGCGCCCGTTCAACGCCTTGGCGGAAAATGGGGGAATGAGCGCGTGTGACGCCGAACCCAAGAGAGGGACGTGGCAAAGCTCGTGGAATCCAGGTGGTCACCGATGATGTGCCACAAGATCGAAACGTCACACAAAATGCCACCGGTTGTTGGCGTTTCGCGTCGAGCCGGAGGTCGAGGTTCTCTCTCGCAGCTAAAACGAAAAGCGAGTCACTGGATATAGGCAAACGACAAGCAGTTTCTCAGGTTATGAACAATGCGGCCTCTCACAGGATAACCACGTACTTGTACAGAACACCGAGCACCAACAGCACGACTGACTGAACAGCACTATCCTCACCCCCCCCCCCCCCCCCCCCCGCAATTTTCTCTCTTTTTTTCCCGGGGGAAGGGGGTCTGCCCACGGGGAAAAAAAAAATGGAAAAGCAAGGGACGAAAAAAACCAAACAGGGGAGGGCTTGGACTGGACCAGGGGTTTGGAACAACGGAAGCGGGGGAAAAGCGGGGGCCTTTCGAAGTCCTAACCTGGCTATGTTTTCCTCCCAAAAAGGCTCGGGGAAGGGAAAGGGGGGATGGGGGGCTAAGTGGGCCTCGGGGAGGGACCTGGTTGTTTCTGGGCCCCAAAAACTTGGTTTCCCGGGGGCGTCCCCCCCACAAACATTGGGAGCTCTAGAAAGGGGGGAAGGGGAAGGCCCCAAAAAGTAAAAAATGAAAAAGGGAACCGGGAACCACACACACACCGCAAGGATGAAAGCCTCCACGAAAAAAGCTGGGGCGGTTTAAAGGAAAAAATGGACCGGGGGGGAAAAAGGGACCCTCCGCTTGGTGGAAACGCGAATC